TGGCTGCAGACAACCTAATAAAACTCATTTCGTCACAAACGACACAAACTAACTTCGTTTTTATCCTCTGGGGACTTATGTAGCTATGGGTAAAGGAAAACATGTTTGGGGAGCTGCGGGAGCATGGAAAAGACCAGAACATCACACAGAGTAACACATTAAGAATTTACCTTGAAGGTAAATGCGACTTTAAAGGGGAGGTTTTCTTTGCCATGTAACAATTTGTGTCATCTACGATGGGTATCAGAAGAGAAATAAAATAAATAACTTTAATATGGTGTAGTAGATGGAGCGAAAGGGGGTTCTATGTGAGGATTATGTGATGAACTTTTTGGCATCAATAACAACTTACAAACCAGCCTACTTACCACTTATTTCGGCGAGGACATGTTATGGGAGGAAAGTACTTTAAAAACTGATTATTTTTTTCTGTATTCGGTAATATTATATTAAGTTCGTTATTCCGTTCGTAACTAATCGAAATAATAATTTTAGACCCTACAAAGTGTATATATACTTTATCAGGATACAATTCTAAGACGTTTTAATCCTGTCGGTCCATTCGTCCGTTCGTCTGTTGTAATCACACTAGAGTCATAACGAATTCAGAAAGGAAGCTAACATTTTGCAAAGATCAGTCTTTTGTGTGCAGGTCTGAAATTCTGCACAAGGAGTTCTTTGTAAGTACATAACGCCCAGAAAGTGAATCGTCCATACAGGATGAGATAAAAAAAAACTGCAACAAAGTCAAACGCCATAAATTTTAAATTTTTTGAATGAAAGCAAAATATGTCGGAAATAGCATCAAATTTTAGAATAAATTTAGATATATACGAATTATGGCCTTCAAACGGCCAATGAAACCGTATCACGCCGCCCGAATGTTGCTCTGCTTGCCGCCCGGAGAAAACCTTGCTTGAGGTGATCGACACTTTGGTATTTTTTAGTGCCAACATTGCTTTCCAAAATACTCAAAAGACAATAGTCAAACGGATTAGTATCCGGAGAATTTGCTGACCCTTGTGCGCTGGAAATGATGCGAGGAACCTCATTTTGTAACCATTCTAGGGTGGCGCGTGCTGAGTGCGATGGTGCTGAGTCTTGTTGGAATGTTGAAAGTCTGCGGCCAAATATTTTGTGTTACCAAGGCTTTAATACACCATCCAGAATATTTTCGCTATAATATTTGGCATTTATTTTGATGCTATGGTCGATTATAAGTAGCGCTAAGCGACCATCGGTTGTTATGGCGGGCCACAACATAACCATGGCCGGCGCTTGAGTTCTGGTGGCCAATCGATGGTGCACATTTTCAGTTGACCTCTTTGGCAAGTAAACCCGATCATTTTGTTTGTTTACAAACTGCTGGACTACGAATGTTTTCTCATCGGAGAACACCAAATTCGGCCGTTCAACCACTTTCGACCAAGCGAAGCAAACCTTTAGCTCTTTTGAGTCTATTTTCTTTCTGTTGCGGTGTAAGTTCTTGCACTTTTTGGAATTTCAATGACTTTATCCAGAGCTCATTTTTCAATATTTGCCGTAATGGAATATTGCGATATGTTCAGCTCACGAGCTCCATTTTTCGGCCACTGCGACGCGGGTTTCGGTCAAGTCGCTTCTTTACGTTTCGAACCATTTCTGCTGATGTTGCCGTTTTCTTCCGTCCACTTCATTGACGTCGGGCTACGCTACCAGTATCACGGTAACGAACGATGGCTCGAGACACAAAAGATTTTAATGCAGGAGTGCTCTAACGATTGCAAGTTCTGTGAAAAATTCTTAAAGGGTACGAATTTAGTATTAGAATCAAAATTGAAAAATGCGAACTGTATTAAATGGTACTATTTAATGGAACACTTCGGTTTAGGATGATTTTGAATTTGGGTCCCAGTTGGTGGCTGCTTTGTGATAAAGAGGTGGTTTTGGAGAGGTTTATTACAAGTGCACGAAAAGTACGGAATATTTGGTACAATTATGGTACAATTATACAATTGGTACAATTATGCATTAGGTGAACAGCTAGTGCTTGAAATCTTAAATTTGGTATAAGAGTCGCTGTTCATAGGTGGCCTGGAAAGGCGATAGGTGTTTTGTGAAATGTGTAATGTAATTGCACGAAAAACCGAAAATACTACTATATTCAATATGGGGCGAACGGATATAAGTTCAATTCTGAAATTTGATATTTTGATGACTGATAGTATGTGTGTTTGAGATTTGGGTGTGGTTTGGAAATGCCTCATATATTTTTAAGGAAAGTACTGAATGGTACCAAATTTGGTATTGAGTGAAGGTGAAATCCTCAATGTTGATATTGTTGGTATCTGGAATTGAGATATGGAGGTGGTGTTGAAAATATGCACCATAATTATTCGAAAATTACAAATTGGTACAAAGTTTGGCACTGAGTAAAGGGATAGGGCTGGATTCCTCAAATTTGATATTGAAATCTTTGTTGGTATTTGGTAATTGAGAGAAGGAACTGGTTTTGGACATGTGTACCATAATTGTTCGAAAAGTACTAATTGGTACTAAATTGTATTGGGTGAAGGGATAGAGCTGGAATCCTCAATTTTGATATAGATGTCAATGTTGGTGTCTGTGGTTAAGATGTGGATGTGATTTTGGAAATTTAGTATTGAGTGAATGGATTGAGCAGAAATTCGGAAATTTGATAATGAGATCGTTGTTCGTACCTGGACTTGAGATATGCTAGTGGTTTTGGAAATGTGTACCATAATTATTCGAAAAGTACTGACTGCTACAAAATTAAGTATTGGGTGAAGTGTAAACGTTTGAATCTCCAATTTTGATGGAGGTGGTTTTGGAAATGTGTACTATAATTGTTCGAAAAGTACTAATTGGTACGAAATTTAGTATTGGGTAAAGGAAAAGAGCTGAAATTTGATATGGATGTCACTTTTGGTGTCTTTGGTTAAGATATGGAGATGATTTTTGAAATGCATACCACAATTATTCGAAAAGTATTAAATGTCACAAATTTTGGTATTGAGTGAAGGGATAGGGCTGGAATCCTGAAATTTGATATTGGGATCTTTGTTGATGATATTAAGATCCTTGTTTGTTTCTGAAATTGAGATATGGAGTTGGTTTTGGATATTTGTACAGGGTTGTCCATATTCGACGGACCCATGTTTTTTTTGGGCCCATTCCAATCGACGAGGCTTGTCCGCAGGCAACATTCTTTGCGTCAATTGAATTTTGTACGGGAACAAATGCAATCAATGCGAATAATCCGTTGTAAAGTGGACCGAGCCATGCCCAACTGCTGGGAAAGGCGTTTTTGGGATGTTCTTGGGGACCTCTCAACCCTGACTCGTACGGCAGCGATATTCTCGGCCGATCGCCTTGGTCGACTTTTATATGGCCTCTTCGGATTAGAAAGAGCCTTACCAGTCGAAAATTTTTCGTATAAAGGCTTGATGGTGTTCTTAGAAGGCGCACTTCTCACATTTTTTAATGTTTTAAAAGCACGTTGAGTTTTCACAATTGACTTCTTCTGTTGAATGTAAATTTCAACTATTTCAGAGCGCTCACGTGGCGTGTATTTGTTCATGGTAAAAATCTGCTTGGACTGACACTTCAAACGCGGTATGTCATTAAGCGATGTGACATCTCTGTCAAAAGTTATGGCGTTGCCAGATGGGTCCGTCGAATATGGGCAACCCTGTACTATAATTGAACGAAAAGTACTAAATAGCACTAAATGTAGTATTGGGTAAATGAATAGAGCTGAAGTCCTGAAATTTGATATTGAGGTCTCTGTTGGGGTCTGTGGTTGAGAAATTTTTGGAAATGCGTCCTATAAACATACGAAAAGTGAAAATTAAAATATTCTTATATTCGATATTTTTATGAATTCACCGGAAGGGTTTCAAAATTGATATTTGGAGTTCGTAATTGGTTCTCTCTTCTACGACCGAAAATTACCTATACAGGTCCACATTTTCGTATAGCCTGTCATTTCCATTTTCAATACCACAATTTTTACGGACCTAAAATTTATTTGAGTTAAATCATATCAACCTACTTTTTGTCATTCGCAACCTAGAGTAATTTTCATAGATGGACTGACAGGCGGATGGAGTTGGCTAAATCGACAAAGAACTTTAAGCAGATCCAGAATATCTACATTCTTTGTGTGGTCCAAAATCGATATTTCGAGGTGTTACCAACGTATTAAAAATATTCCCTTTTTTTTTGTCATTATCCAAAAATCTCCATGCACATTACCATGTTGAGACCTCTTGGTTTTATGGCATGACAAGGTGAAGATCATAGCTGAGTATCATTTCAGGACAATTTTTGTGATTTGCTTATTTCATGTCGCCCGCCAATATTAACCCTAATCCCAAGTCGTTAGCTTATATCAAGCGTTGAATAAAAAAATGCCAATTTTTTCCTGTTCCCCATCGATTATTGACGAACTCGTATTATCTTAACCCTCTAAGCCAAGAAGGTCCTCCAAGGCCCCAATAAAAAATTTGAACAGCTCAGTCAAAATAGTGTATCTTTTCGTACTTTTCGTAACATTTCATCACACCCCACCGAGACTGCTCCTTATTCAAGATTCCAGGGATTGGTTCAATAACAATGTCGTACGTTTTAATAATTTTTGTGCCTTTGTCGAACAAATTTCCAAAAATTTCGCCATGCCTTAACCCTCTAAGCCAAGGGTGACCCTCATGCAATTTTAAAAATCCATAAAAAAAATCACTCCATAGTTGAATTTTTTTTTTTGCCTTTTTGAAATTTTCGTACCCTTTAATTTTGTTTTAGCCGACCCCTAGCCTCTGATTTGTTTAGATTTTTAAATGGAATTTTGACAATTAATTTTAAGTTTATCTTCCAAATCTTAAAACCAATTTTATAGTGTTTCATGCTGAGCGGAATAAAAATTTCCAAAATTTAAGGCATTGTTCGTGTTTTTTTTTTTTTTTAACAAAAATTCAATAAATAAATTTTCTTTTTTACAGACACTCCCCAAAGTACCTGTACCACCGTTGGAACAAACAATGACCGAATATATAAGGGCATTGGAACCCATAACTACACCTGCCCAGCTAGAACGTACGAAGGCGATCGTTAAACAATTTACTGCGCCAAATGGTCTGGGACCAAAATTGCACCAATATTTATTGGACAAGCGGGAGGCTGAGGATAATTGGGTAAGTCGGAAAGCAAATTTTAGTGCGTAGGCGTAAGATAGGGTTACGAAAAAGATAAGGTTGGGAAATTCGTACTAAAAAGGTGCGAAAAGTATTAACAGGTATGAAATCTGGTACTCTTTCTATTCGAGGAAGCAGTAGAGTTAGTACCCTTAAATGTGGAATGAGGGTCAGACATGGAGTGTATCATAGATGTATCAAAGCGATTTTGGAAATTCGCACCATAAATGTACGAAAAGTACTAAAATTAAAATTCATGGGCATCAAGGTTGAGGAGTAGAGTCGATGTACAGAGGTAGTTTTGGAAGTGTGTACTCATGTCCATGAAAAGTACTAAACGGTACTTAATTTAGTACAATTTGAATTTCGACGAACGGATGGGACAGGAATCCGGAAATCTGGCGGAGTGTAGTATTTGGATATGGAGGTAATTTTCGAAATTTGTACTTAAGTGCACAAAAAGTACTAAATGGCAAAAAAATTGGTACAATTTCGTTTTGGGTGAACTGATAGAGTTGGAATTTTGAAATTTAGAAATAAAATTGCAATTTTTTTCAAGTACTGAGTAATGGTAGGTCATTTTGGAAATTCTTACTTATGTCCACTAAACGCTACTAAATTTGGTACAATTTTAATTTTTAAAGAACCAATAGAGTTTGAATCCGGAGATATGAAATAAGATTAGCATTGCTTTGAAGGTTTTGAAAGTAGAGCTTAACATAGACGGCAGTTGTATCGGTGTTTTGAAAATTTACATGGCAAAATAACCACAAAGGAGGGGGATAACTCCCTCCCCTTCCAAATTTTTTGAAATGTTCGGATTAAGTTTTCTTGGATACCGCTGATTTTATACAGGGTGAGATGGAAAAAACTGCACCCACCTTCAGACTGTTGTCATTTCTAAGCCACTCGTCCGACAGATGTTAAAATTACTCTAGTGACAGCTCATTATATTGTTTACAAGCGTACAAAAGCACTTTGGTGAGAATTATCCAGAAAAAAAGTTATGCGTGATGGAATTCAAGCGTGTTAGTGTGATGTCTTTATATTTGGCTGGGAAACCAGAAGTGATTATCGTTAGATCACTCCAGCATTTAAATGTGAATAAATCGTTTGTGTCTCGTAGCATCGCTCGTTACCGTGATGCTGGTAGCGTAGCCCGACGCCAAGGAAGTGGACGGAAGAAAACTGCAACCTCAGCAGAAATGGTTCGAAAAGTAAAGAAGCGACTTGATCGAAAACCGCGACGCAGTGGCCGAAAAATGGCTCATGAGCTGCACATATCGCAATATTCCACTCGGCAAATGTTGAAAAATGAGCTCGGGGTAAAGCCATTGAAATTCCAAAAAGTGGAATAACTTACACCGCAACAGAAAGACAATGGACTCAAAAGAGCTAAAGAGTTGCTTCGCTTGGCCGAAAATGGTGATCTGCCGAATTTGGTTTTCTCCGATGAGAAAACATTCGTTGTCCAGCAGTTCGGAAACAAAAAAAAATTATCGTGTTTACTTGCCAGAGAGGTCAGCTAAAAATGTGGACCTTCGGTTGGCTACGAGAACTCAAGCGCCGGCCATGGTTATGGTGTGGCCCGCCATAACAGCCGATTGTCGCTCAGCGCTCGTATTAATCGACGTGGTGGCATCAGAATAAATTTTGAATATTATCGCGAACATTTTCTGGAGGGTGTATTAAAGCCTTGTTCACGTCAACATTTTGGCCGCAGACCAAAAGATTATTTTTGTGCAATGCATATTACGCTTGTGAGGGACTTCAAACCCCAAATCGGATAAAACATATGTAGGGGAGCTATAGCTATATCTGCAAGGATTTACACCAAATTTGAAGCACTGGTTTATATTATGAATTCAGGCGTAAATTCCAAAATTCGGTACATTTGGAACACAATAAACCTGATCTCGGATAAAGATATATGTGGGAGCTATGTCCTAATCTGAACCGATTTCGATTAAATTTGACAGAGGTATTTTCGAGCAGTATCTGATGTCCGATATCAAATATCGTTCTTCTGGAGTCCATGTTTCGCATGTGAGGGATTTAAAACCCCAAATCGGATGAAAAATATATATGGGAGCTATATCTGAACCGATTTTCTTCAAATTTGATTCACTTGCTGCTGGACTGAATTCGGTGGGATGAACCGAAATACAGGTCATTTGGTCTTATATTGACCATTTGGTGCACAATTATGCCGAAATCGGTTGAAGATATACATGGGAGCTATATCTATCACTGTTCCGATTATCACCAATTTCAATAGGGTTCGTCCTTGGGCCAAAAAAAAAATATTGTTTGCAAAATTTCATCTCAATCGGATAATAAATGCTATCTGCATTTTGCTCACAAGAATACATGGACAGACGGACTGACATACACAAAACGACTCAAGAAGTGATTCTATGAAGATCCTCAAAAGTAACTATGGGTCTATCTCGCTTCCTTTTCCACTATGTGGTGTAGGGTATAAAAATGAAAGAGTGGCGGAACTTGCCCCTTCATATTTAGGATACGATGTAAACTGTCAAAACGCCAATACACGTGTTTTCCAGTTTCAGCAGATTATGAAAGCTGCAAGATTTTCCCTGTTATTATTTCTGGTGTGGCACAGTGTTTTTATACCCTCCCCATTGGAAAGGAGGGTATATTAACTTTGTCATTCCGTTTGTAACATCCTTAAATATTCGTCGTAGACCCCATAAAGTATATATATTCATAATCAGCATAAAATTCTAAGTCGATTTAACGATGTCCGTCTGTCTGTCTGTCCGTCTGTCTGTCTGTTGAAATCACGATACAGTCCACATTATTTGACGTAGAGCGCCAAAATTTAGCAGAGCTATTTGTATTGTATCTAGAATGGTTGGTATTGAAAATGTTTTGATTTGATTTGTCTGAAAATTGGTACTTGTAGGTCATAATGGGTCCCTGTGCGTGTGGCAAAACATTGCATGTATGGGTCCACGTTTTGGTATAGTCTCCATATAAAGGTACCTCCCGATATTCGGTATTTTAATTTTTTTGCCACATTTTTTTTTTACTGTTTTGTCTAAAAATTGGTATTTGTGGGTCATAATGGTTTCTAGTTCGTGTGGAGGAACATTGTATGTCTAGGTACACGTTTTGATATAGTCCCCATATAACGGTACCTCCCAATATTCGGTATTTTGATGATTTTTGACACATTTTATCAAGAATTACTCTGAAAATTGGTAGTTGTAGATCATAATGGGTCCCAGTTCGTGTGGCGGGTCATTGTAATTATAGGTCCATGATTTGACCTGTATTTTGATGGTTTTCGCCACATTTATTCTAATGTTTCCTTTACCCTAAAGTGGAGGGTATTAAAAGTTTGGCCCGGCCGAACTTAATGTTTTTTTACTTGTTATAAGAATTAATCCAGTTAAAAATTATAGTTAATTTTTTAACACCGTTTCGAAAATGAAGAAAAGTGAAAAATTTATTTTTTTACACTCAAATATGCAAAATCTCCATTGAAATTGTCAATATTTAAATTTGTTAAAAAGAAAAGTCTTTTTTTTCAATTTTTTCAACTAAATTGCAAAATATTCATTTTATTCAAATCAAAAGCTTTAAGTTGGGTTTATTGAACTTAAGAGCTGGGATTTGCCTCTAGTGGAGGGGTATTTTCAATTGTTGGTGGTGTGGGGCCAGCAACTGGAGGCGTGGGAACACCAGGTGCGGAGGTGGATGGTACTGGTGGTGGGGGAATGGAAGAACCGGCTGGAGTGGGGGCTGGAGTGGGAGCTGGGGTGGGTGCTGGAGTAGGAGCTGGAGTAGGAGCTGGAGTAGGAGCTGGGGTAGGAGCTGGGGTAGGAGCTGGAGTAGGAGCTGGAGTAGGAGCTGGAGTAGGAGCTGGAGTAGGAGCTGGGGTAGGAGCTGGAGTAGGAGCTGGAGTAGGAGCTGAAGTAGGAGCTGGAGTTGTGGTGTTAGCAATAGGTACACAAACGGAACCCTGCTCAACTTTCAATGTCTGGCAAATTTGGGATGGTATATATTCTTGACAGCTGAGACAGCTTTGCAGAACAAAACTGAAATAGGTATTTGCAGGGCAATTAACCAAAATGGGATTTCCTTCACCTTGGCAGCGATAGTATTGCTGTACATTGGCATAGTTGGGCCACAAATACTGCAATTCATAGCCTTCACAAGCCAACTTTAAGGTGGTGGTGTAGTCTGGTACATCGGGACATTCGTATGTGGCCGAATGTACACCGAGACTCAGGGCCAAGACACCAAATAGCACAAACACTAAAAACGAAATAGAATTCAAAATAAATCACTAAACCATTGGCGATGAAAATGATTTTCAGAAAATCTCACCAGCTTTCATTTTGGAATGAATATTAATTTCCGTTTTTATTCTCGACTCGAACGAAATGCTTTTCCAATATTGTAGTTCACCGAAGACGACGCTGGAACACACTGATTAACTCATCAACCACTTGAGGTTTTTATATGAAACACATTCGGTCTAGAATTCCCATTGAGAAGTGTCAATCAAAAGCCAAAAGCCCCCCAAAAAAAAACAAAAACAAAAACAAAAACACCCATAATCATCAGACGTTAATGTCACTGATTTCTTGTATCAATAGTTTGTGTGTGTTTAATTTTTTTCTAATTTTTTCTTGGTATTCCTATGTAATTTCTAATCAGACCCTCACAAAGATTAGCACAAGGCATTTGGGTGAGCGGAAGAAAGAAAGAAAGATAATAGACAGTAATTAAAACCTTGTTCCTATGCTTAGCATGTGTGTGTTCCCCCATTTCCCCCTTGATTTGGTTCAGTAACTTATAATCGAAACTGTTAAATTAAGATAAAATTCCTAATATCTTCGCACCTGGGTTTTTTTTTTTTCTTCAGGAAATTGATTTGCCAAAAGATTTTTACCCTCAGCAAAGGATTTGGATTTTGCTTGGCCGGACTAGGAATATGAGTTCTTTTAGTTATTGAAGGGGAAATGAACCCAAAATACGCCAATTTTATGCCAGATGTTAAATCTTATAAAATTGCAATACCCTCAGCCATATGGCTACATAATTTGATAGGGCCAAAACTTGATTCAAAGAAATAAAGATTTCAGACCCTATGTTTCATTGGACGGCCCCAATTTCAGAATATATATATTCGATCTGCCAGTGTCCGTCCGTCCAATTGGCTGTCTGACTGGTGCACACGATAGCTTTCGAAGGGTATATTCGATTTCGTCCAGACATGGTATATTCGAATATTATTATCAAAACATATAGGGCGAGATAAAAAAAAACTGCAACAAAGTCAAACGCTATAATTTTTACATTTTTTTAATTTTTATTGAATAATAGCTTAAAATATCGGAAATAGCATCAAATTTTAGAATAAGTTTAGATTTGTTCGAATTTATGACCTTTGGCACGAATTATGGCCTTCAAACAAATGGCCAATGAAATCGTCACACGCTGCTCGAATGTTGCTTTGCCGTATTTGGGCCCATTCCTGGCGAAGAGCTTGCTTGAGGTTACCGACACTTTGGAATTTTTAAGTGCCAACCTTGCTTTCTAAAATACTGCAGACGAAATAGTCCAACTGATTGGTATCCGGAGATTTTGGTCGTCATTGTGTGCTGGAAATGAAGCAAGGAACCTCATTTTGTAACCATTCATGGGTGGCGCGTGCTAAGTGCGATGCTGCTAAGTCCTGTTGGATGTCCAAGGTCTACGGCCAAAATGTTTGCGTGCCCAAGGCTTTAATACACACTCCAGAATATTTTCGCGATAATATTCGGCATTTATTCTCTGTCACGGTCGATTAATACGAGCGGAGAGCGACCATCGGCTGTTATGACGGATCACACCATCACAATGGCCGGCGCTTGAGTTTTGGTGCACATTTTCAGCTGACCTCTTTGGCAAGTAAACACGATCATTTTGTTCGTTTACAAACTGCTGGACAATGTTTTCTCATCGGAGAAAACCAAATTCGGCAGTTCATCACTTTCGGCCAGGCAACGAAGTAATTCTTCAGCTCTTTTGAGTCTATTTTTTATACCCTCCACCATAGTATGGAGGGTATATTAAGTTTGTCATTCCGTTTGTAACACCTCGAAATATACATTTTAGACCCCACAAAGTATATATATTCTTGATCAGCATAAAATTCTATGTCGATTTATCAATGTCCGTCCGTCTGTCCGTCTATCCGTCTGTCCGTCTGTGGAAATCACTCTAGCTTCCGAACGAAATGAAGTAGGTTGATAAAATTTTACTCAAATGTGTACTATGTCTGCAGGACTTTTGGTATTGAAAATGGGGCATATAGGTCCACGTCTTCGGATAGCTCCCATATAACTGTACCTCCCGATATTCGGTATTTTGATGATTTTAGCTACATTATTTACCGGAATTGTTTCAAATTTGGTATTTAAAATTTTTAATAGATACTACAGCATAAAACAGAAAATGGGCAATGTAGGTCCACGTCTTCGTATAGCCCCCATGTAACAGTACCCCCCGATATTCGGTATTTTGATCATTTTAGCCACATTATTTACCGGAACTATTTCAAATTTAGTATTTGAAGTTCGTAATGGATGCTACAGCCTATCACAGAAAATTGTCTGTGCAGGACTACGCCTTCGTATAGCCCCCATATAACGGTACCACCGATCTTCGGTATTTTCATGATTTTAGCGAACCTATTTACCGGAATTGTTTCAAATTTCGCATTTGAAGTTCGTAATGAATACTACAGCCTATGACAGAAAATTGTCTGTGCAGGTCCACGTCTTCGTATAGCCCCCATATAACGGTACACCCCGATATTCGGTATTTTGATGATTTTAGCGACATTATTTATCGGAATTGTTTCAAATTTCGCATTTGAAGTTCGTGAAGTTCGATATAACAGCCTATGACAAAAAATTTTGTGTGCAGATCCACGTTTTATAACCACCATGGTACCTCCCTATATCGACGATTTTAGCTACATTATAAACAGATTTTTTTCAAGTTTCGCATTTGAATATTGTGATATAAGTTGCCTTGTGACAAAAGTTGCCTATGCAGGTCCATGTCGCCATATAGACTCTAATATACGGCTACACGATTTTAACAGAATTTTAAAATCCTTTTATTTATTTATTTATTTATTATTTTTTTTTTTTTACTTATTTTCTATTGCGGTGTAAGTTCTTGCACTTTTTGGAATTTCAATGACTTTACCAAGAGCTCATTTTTCAATATTTGCCGACTGGAATATTGCGACATGTTCAGCTCACGAGCCATTTTTCGGCCACTGCGACGCGGGTTTGATCAAGTCGCTTCTTTACTTTTCGAACCATTTCTGCTGATGTTGCTGTTTTCTTCCGTTCACTTCCTTGACGTCGGGCTACGATACCAGTATCACGGTAACGAGCGATGATACGAGACACAAAAGATTTATTCACATTCAAATGCTGGAGTGGTGCTCTAACGATAGCCACTTGTGGTTTTACAGCCAAATATAAAAAAATTGAATTCCATCACGCTTGAATTCCATCACGAATAATTTTTTTTTCTGGAAAATTCTCACCAAAATGCTTTTGTACGCTTGTAAACAATATAATGAGCTGTCACTGGAATAATTTTAACAGCTGTCGGACGAGTGGCTTGGAAATGACAGCAGTTTGAAGTTGGTTGCGGTTTTTTCATCTCACCCTGTATATTTACACCGAAGATGGGACACTACTTCCCACCGCAAAAGGGTCAAAATTGTTAAAGATAACAATTTAAATCATAGATTAAGAAAAAGTTAATTCGATTTTGTTCAAATTTGGATAATTCTAATATTCGTATTAATTCTTGGTTAGGTGTACAAAAGAGTACCACCCCCACAAAGGGTTAAAATTTTAAATAAACTAAATTTTTAAAATACCATGAAGTTCATAACACGCATCGATAGAGGCATCCGATTCCTTTCAAACTCTGCGCATTTGAATACTTTTATCATAACACGTAAAAAATCAGCTAAGGCCGAACTATTTTTATGCCCTCCAGCATTTGGAAGGAACTTGAAAAATTTCAGAAAATACCGCTCAAATGAAAAACTTTTAATTGGGGGCCATGCGAAGACATGGTGCTGCATAAGTAATTTTTTGTCATAGGCTGTAGTTACGATTCCAATCTTCACATACAAAATTTGAAAGAAAAAATTTGTAAGTAGCTCTCAAAATTTGTAAGTAGCGGAGGGTATTAAAAGCTTGGCCCGGCCTTGCTCCATATTTCAATTGCCAATTTTAAAATTATTTCCAAACCCACCTCCAAATGTCGGCCCTTCAAACTAATGTACTTGCCGTTCACCCAATGCCAAATTTAGAACCATTTAGTACTTTTCGTTTACTTGTAGTGCTCATTTTCAAAATCACCTGGCTTTCAATCCTATCCATCAGTAGTGATCTCATTTTCCAGCCAAAACCCAGCTTTATAAAGTTGTGTTCCATTTAAATACGAACTCGCACCTTCTTATATCAACCCTACTTCCCTAACTTAGTTCTTTTAACAAGCGCCAAAAGTTTAGCTCTATGAGGCTGAAATTTTCCTGTAATTATGGAAAAATTAACATTTGCCGTGCAGGGTAATAATAATATCAATTAGTCATTTTCCCCCGATTTTCTAGAGTTGAAATAATCGGATAAAAACAATATTCTTCTACATTAAATGGCCCAAGTATTTGGCTTGGTGAACCAAAAGTTCGCAATGAAAAAAATAACACCATAATCGTGACATTAAATAAACAAATCATTTGATTTTTTTTAATCTCATTGATTAAACCTGTATTTCTGGAATACATATTTCGTCATAAAATAAAATAATCTATTTTTATACCCTACAACACTATGTGTTGGGGGTATTATAAGTTTGATTGGGCCAGAATTTATGTAACACCTCGAAATATTGGTTTCCCATATAGGAAAGTATATATGGATCTTCCTAGCTCGCCGAGCTGAGTCGATCTAGCTATGTATGTCCGTCCGTCCGTCTGTCCGTCTGTCCGTCTGTCCATGTTAATTTGTAATCACTCTACAGGTCGCAATTATGGCCCGATCTTCACGAAATTTAGAATAGAGGTGGGTCTGGGGTCAGAATAGAACCCTATTTCTTTTGGAGATGATCGCCAAATGTTTAGGGGTTGAAATGGACCAAACACTGAAAAAATTTCGGATTTTGCAGTAGCTATACAGGTCGCAATTATAGACCAATCGACGCCGAATTTCGCATGTAGCTAGAGTTTAGGGCGGGGAAGAGGCCTACCAATTTGGGTGGTCATCGGATAATATTTAGCGGGTAAAATAGACCATATCTTTTGTGCTGAAAAAATTCAAAATTTTTCATTAAACCGTGAATATTTTAAATTCCGGCGAAATCACAAAGCCATGACAAGGTTACTTCTGATCTTTACATTAATGTTAACATCCATCAAATCGGATATATAGCAAAATATGTGCGACATATATGTTTAT